TATTTACCATTTGCATGTATATAACAAACATTTCCAAAAAGGGAAATTATTCCCAATAAAGATACAGCAACTTTCTTCATTTCATTAATCCTTCTGTTTAAACTGGAAAAGTATAACATAAGAAATAATCAGGTACATGGCAGTATATGGTTTGAAAGAATGATTTTTTAGGAAATCCCATTTATAAATTCAGATAGTCATGCCCATTAATTGTATTTTTAAATTTAAAATTTTTTTATCTGATTTCTTTAAAAGACATCTGAATGATAGAAAATTTCCTTGTGTTCAGTGTAAGGTTGTTTCATTTTTTTACTTTCTTAATTAAAATAGTTATTGACTTTATTTCTTCAATATTCTAGGCCATTCTTGAACTTGGGTGGAAATTCTCAATTACTATTTTATTGTACCATTTCGGTACAGGAAATATTTCAATTTTACTTGGTTGTTTTTTGTGCATGTTTATAATTATTTTATCGTTTATATTTACCTCGTGATTGTATATAAGAAGTCAATTTAAAATCTTTAAAAATAAGATACAGTAACTTTCTATATTTCATTAATACTTTTGCCCCTTTTTAAGAGTAAAAGTACAACATAATAAATAATTCAGTGCTCAATAAGTAGGTTATTTCATCCCACAATCGGAATGTGTTGTGCTGCCATGCCCAAACGCTATTCTCACATCTTATGGTGCAGAGTGGCATTCTTCGATTAAGTGGTACACATCAAGTAACTTAACTCAACATGTCAGACACATTACACAGGCTTTGGCCCAAAGTAATTAGGCCATAATCGGGTAAAGATGGCCTTTCTTCAGACAGTTCCTTCAAGGGCCATCTATTGTCAGTACTCTTGACAAGTGAGAGTTGCCGATCTGATCACCAATGCTGCTACTCTCTTTTAATCATGCATTTTAATACAATTTTAGCATTATAGGGCCAAATCACTGTGGTTAAGTCCAGAGGTTGGGCTATTTTAAATATAAAATAATTATGTGTGATGATTAGTGACTAATAGTAGTTAGTAGTTAGACTAATAGTTAGTCGATGATTATGTTGAACCAGCAAGAATAGATAAAAAAGGACCATCGGTGAAGATTGAAATATTTATATTATTACTTATACATAGAATTGTGCATTAGTAAAATAATAAGTTTTGTAGGATCGTAATACATACTTACANGATTTTGACCAATTTTTATATGCCTATCAAAAAAACCAATTCATTGTTTATTCTTCTCACACATGTCGATAGTTTATATTACCAAAAAGGTTTTTTTAATCCCTCCACTATCTGCAATATTCTCAGTCAAAGAAACTACTTTCTCAATGTTAATACCCAATTCTGTAGTAAAATTTTTGTATTGTTCTAGAATAATGAAGGTAGTTATTATTTTATTTTACTAATTAACATTAACAATATACATTAGTTTTTTAAATTATAACTTTTAATTGTAATTACCTATAAAACATTGAGCCTTTTCATTAAATGCTTCAATTGTGGCAATATCCCACTCCCATTTCTTTTCAATGATTTTGTCAAACTCAAGTCCTTCTAGAGTAAATCCATGTGTTGCCTCATGTCCAATCAGGTTTCCAAGTCCACCAAAATTTATGCATTTTGGTAAATGTTTGTGATAGACTGGGGGCTGAAGTAGCCCAATGAGAATGACTGTATAGATAAAGAGTACATACATTACAATCTTAATTTCTTTTTTTTTTTTTGCATAGATGGTAACATACTAATTTTATTTAAATCATAATTATAAAATCCATTCATTATTAAAGGATTTGCTCCATAATAATCATCAGGCTCACGAAGCTGTTTTTTCATATGCCTAATCAAATATTGAATTATGTTCATACAGTTCTCGAAGTAAGTTCCTGTTTGAAAATCCACCTTAAAAAAAAAATGTTGTTGGTTATTAATTTTAAATAAACAATATGGTTTGAAATTGTGAAAAGAGTTTTAGTATTTAAGAAGTTTTGAATAACTTTTTATTGGCTTCTTCAATAGAAAAAATGGTACCACAAAGATTCAGTTGAATGATTCAACTTGTAATTTCACTTATTTTTTCTCTGATCCAACCCAGAAAGACAATCCTCTTTTGTCTGTTGTCTGGCAGTCACCACTGAGGCCTATATTGTTCCAGCGCCGACTATTTCAAAATATTTAACACTAACAATTTCTGTAAATTCATGAAAATTGTTTATATACATTCTAATAAATAAATTTTTATTATTTGTTTATAGTGTTACAAATTAAGCTCTTTTTATAGAAAATGTTGGGCTTTTCTGATTTTTCTACTTATTTTTTTATGTCACTCTCAGTTATGAATGAAGTTCTAATCTTTCAATGAGTTACTAAAACTTAATCAATAATATTATCGATTTTAAAATTATTGCATGTGAATCTGAATAAAAATGGCATACTCATATCTTTCAACAGCTTATGATAGTGCTTCAGACTAGTAATGGTCTTGGGGGGCTGCAGTGGACATATAGTTAGGATGTAAAATTTTATTTGATACACTATCATTTCCGGGTTTGATTCCCAACATAACCCTTGGAATTTTATTTACGATTAATTTATAAAAAGTATTGTAAATTGGTTTGACCCCCACATCCATGACACCCAGCAGATAGTTGGATTGGACTGAAATTACTGTAGCTTTTGTTCTTTAATATATTTTATGTATAGTTTGAAGTTCATTGGTTATCCTGGTCTGCTATTCCCACTAGATGGACATTGAATTGTTGAATATATAAGAATAAAAGAAACTACAATTTCGTCTTCACCATTAAGCTTCAGCTATGTTTTATTATTAATTAATTTTATTATTGTCCGGAGATTATGGCCGGTACAATTTCCCAATTCAGATTAGTTAATAATTGTTTGATCCTCTAGGGCAATGTGGGGTGGGCATTGTCATGGTGAAAGTCTACACCTAGTACAGGACGTTTTTGCTTTATTTGAAAGTCTAAATGTGTTAACTGTTCACTATCAATCATTCCCCTTTTGGTAAAAGCTCAAAATACAAGAGGCCGGACCTGTCCCACCAAATACACAGCATATGTCATACGTTTTGGAACAACTGGGAGCAATAAGCATTTTTGTACGAGATCCACTTTTCATCTCCTGTTACCAATCTATGAAGAAATGGTTCATAAGAGTGACGATAGAGGATTGAAAAGCAAATTGAGATGTGATCTGCTAAATTCCTTTCACTGAGTTTCATGTAGGATCTATGTAGTGTACTACTGAACAAACCCAAGTCTTTGGAAGTGGAATCCTAAGTGTTGTATTGGACAACTTTAACATCTCTTCTAGTTCTCACCATCCAAAAAGAGATTTCATTCTAACCTATGCCACAATATGTCATCATCAACTTCAGAAGGACGTGTAACTGCATGCAACATCTTCAAGAACAAAATTTCCTTCTCTAAATTGAACAAACCACCATTGGACTTGATGAATGTTTACAGCTCACTTTACACAAAGTCTCAATTGAAACAATTGCATTGTTCCCTTTTTGGAATTCATAAAGTAAACAATGA